TTCGACATGTGGCAGGAGGAGCCAGGGATCGAACCAACAACCGATTACCTTCCGATTAGGGACGACCCGCTCTGCCTCTGCACCACAGCCATATATCCAATGCATAACAATAAAAGTAGAAGACAGCAAATTTTTTTAGTATGAATAATTAGCAGAGATGAGTTTTCCTGATATTTTTAGGCACTTTTTATACTTTTTATATATCTGTATTATGTGTTTTAAAAATATTTAACAATCACACATACGTAATAGGCTTTTTTTTCATAAATTCAGTGTTTCTTTCTCATCGTTCTATTAGCTCTTTGGTAGCTCTTTCCTAATGCAGGACGAGGGTGTTTATCAGAGAGAGAAGGCTCAGTGAACATAGCTTGTGTTCAGGTCTTCACCCTAATTCAATTTCAGTATAACAATTTTATTTAGTTTTCTTCACAGAAATGAATGAATCTTTTAAAGTCATTTTAACCTTCCTTTTTTTATAATTCAATTTGTATTATACTGATCAAAACAAATCACATGCAACAAAAAAAAGGGAAAAACCTTGTACACTCCGTTTAGCAGTATCTTTATTGTAGCTTTAAAGTTGCAATGCTTGTTGCAATGTTTGTAGGCATTTCAAAATTGTGGGAGAAAGTGAAAATTGTTTTGCATTAAAAATCAAAGCCAACTTGTTCCAGTCAGAATAAAATCAGTAGTAGTTTGGTGACATATGGCTCGTTTTCCTCGAGTGACTGCTATGATTGGTGAATCTTGCGGGAAACTACAATGATTTGTCACATTTGTGGAAAAGCAGTGAAGTTTGGACAAAATTGCAATGTTGCGCCGAGTTGACTGGGGTTGATTGAATTTGTGTTAATTGTTCCTTCCTGGAGGGACCGAGTTGGGAACCTTTCTAACATAAAACAACCGTAAGACCGCACCGTAGGACACAGACAGACCAAGGCGAGTAGGGAACTTCATGTACTATGAGACTTTCACTGTTCTAAAATAGTAAAATGTCTGCCCACAGTTTGGCATGAACGCTCTGCTTCTGGCATCCTGGTTTGGTCACCTAAAAATCCTGCAGATCCTGGTGTCCTGTGGGGCTAAGCTCAACTGTGAAAACAAAGTAAGAGCTGCTTCATTTCATTGTCACTGTAAACATGAAGGTAATTATTTAATTGTGTCATTATCTGTGTGTGTGTTAGGATGGTCTGAGTATGCTGCACTGTGCTGCTCAGCGAGGCCACGTCAGTGTTTTGGAGTTCATCATGGAAGACCTGGAAGACATCTGTCTCGACAGAGCTGACAAGGTAATTCCTCGCTTGACACTGTTTTCAATTTACACACTGATGATGTACTCATTGTGGAAAGAATGTAGTGTTTTAGCAGAATATGAGTCTAAATCTTCCTTTTCTTTCCATGTCTTTACTATAACAAACATTTTGCTGTTTGTTATCAGAACATCAGTAATATGACAGTAAATGCAGATGAATGGAATCTGAGGCTTTTATTTGAACACGGTGAATACAATATGTTATACAGTATATAATACAGTAAATGTATGGCAGCTCCCGTGTGTAACCTGCTGATGTCTCTCTGACCAGTCAGGGAAGACTGCACTCCACCTGGCTGCTGAACATGGACAATTTGAAGTGGTGGAGTTTCTGATTGGAATGGGTTGCACACATGGTTTGAAGGACAAGGTAGTGACAGACACAGACACACACACACAGATCAATTGTACTCAAGCAAACAAGCAAACACAATTGGCTGTTGTATATGATATTTGAAAACCAATATGAGGTTTTCAATTATTAAATAGCTAGGATGTTACTTTATGTTATACTTTTGTATTTGATGAGCAAAACCTTGGGCGAGTTGATGTGGTTGGAATACGTCCATCATTCTAACGTTTTAAAGCTGTCTTTACTCAAACAAACAGCATAAAGCAGGATATGTTCAGACTTTAAATCCTGTGTATACTGGTAGGGTTGAGTTGGTGTCCTGTTTTGGCGATCCCTTCCGGTATGAGCTTAATCCGGTTTGATTTCATGCTTTATGCTTTAGGCTGCACTCATTTTCAAACGTGAACTCATTCGGGTTCCCCACAGACACACACACGAGAGTTAGCCTCTCTGAGCCGCTAGCTTAGCTACAACACGACTGATAGCTTAGCTACAAACAGGTAACATACAGAAACTAGTCACTATAAAATCCCCAGTGGACTCTCTGTTTCCATCACAGACACAGATAGTCTGACAGCCACTTCCTATGTGATTGACAGGTCATTCTCAGTGAGTCTGTCCAGCTCAACATACCAAACTCAGATCAAACTGTCAGACTAGGCAGTGCTGATCAAATATGAATCCAGATACTGCGTTGCCTTTTTCTCTCCTCAAATCTTGTAATCTTGTATCTGTAATACGAGAATGTGTGTAACTAGGCGAGCTGCCATTGTTTCCTGCTAAGGACAAGATGTAACTGAGCAGCCAATGAGAGCAGCTCAACTTGAAGACCGTAATGCCAAACTTGAGGCTTCAAAACGGTACTCCACAAACCAATGGATAATGTGAAGATAGGTTCACACTTGTTTGAAGGTCTCTTTTTTGAAATCTGAACCACAGATGGGAGCTATATCTTCCTTACAAAATAACCTCTTCATTTGAAGTGGGATCAGATCAAGGATTTATTCACTGTACAGCCGATGTTATTGGTTTGCTGAGCCCCCAGCTGGAGAGAGCATTTTAATATTTTATCTGTGTAAGATTCTTGGAGCAGAACTGCTGCAGAAGAGGAAAGGGAAGAACAAGGCAAGATGGTGGTGGTGTAGCTCAGCTACTTTGAATAAATAAAAATAAGGATTTGGTAATGTGTGTGGGAAAATAATGGATTCATTGTAGAAACATTCAGCTTCTGACACTCCCGGTGGTAAAAGTGCTTATGCAAACTTGACCAGAACTATTAAAAAAGAAGAAACAAAGACACAGAGCCTACACAGAAACACTAAGAATGCCACAATACTAATACCTCATCTGACCTCAGACAAAAAGGTTGGACATTCCTGGATTATGTGACATTATCAAAATGAATGGACCATCACACCACCGAGGTCAGTGTGTGTAGAAACTGCACTTTTCCTGCATGGTTTAGACCATAAAACCAGTGTGTGTCAACAGCTACTCTTGACATGTTTTGGTGGATATACTGTATGTAGAGGAAGTAGTGTGAGAATGGGCTCCTGGTTGTAATGTGTTGTTATGTCTGCATTACAGGAAGAGAACACAGCCATGCATCTAGCAGCAAAGTGTGGGCACAGCAAGGTTCTGCAGAAGATCGTGGAGACTGGAGTCGACGTTGATGAGAGGAATATAGTGAGTGGACTAGACAGCATACTTCAAGGCCAAATTTTTTACTTGATCATGGTACACAATTGGCAGCCTGTTTGCATTTTCTGTACGTTACCTTTTATTTTACAGAAGCACTTTTTCAGTTCTCACATTAGTACCATGTTTTTGGGCTGTGTTGTTGGGCTGCAACTATTGATTATTTTCATTATTGTTAATGGCAGTTAAACCATTTAAGGCAGTTAAAAATTTAACTCCAGATTAACTAGCTAGATGGAAATATTTGGATTTAATACAATTTGATGAACCAGCGGTCTTTATGTGGTTTATTTAAAAGCATATTTCAATAGTAGTTTGTTTTACATGGGTTTTACATGATATAGTATCAACTGTGTCATCATAGACGAGTCAGGCTCAATTTTTATTTCTGCTAAAGTGACTCATCTTATAAATAAGGGTTAGGGTGAGTAAGAATTCCTGGTTCCCACTTCTCAAATATGGAGATTTTCTGCTTTCCTCTGGTTCATGTCATTGTAAACTGACCTTCTTTTCTGCTTGTTGGTTGGACAACATTTTAAGATGTCACTTTTAGCTCTATAAACTGATGACAAAATTTACTCATGATACACACCAGTCTGACTCAGACTGAAATGTACCTGTTGTGTTTTTAGGATGGTCTTAAAGCACTGCACCTGGCAGCTGATGGAGGTCACTATGAATGTGTGAAACTGCTGCTGGAGTCTGGCTGTAATATCAATGCACAAACTAATGTGTGGTTTGTTCATTTAAACGATATAATCTGCAATAAACATAAAAGATAAAAAAAATACATTTGAATGACAGACACTGGGTTTGTTTGTGTTTGCAGAGGAACATGAATGCTCTCCATTATGTGGCAGAGCATGGCTTTGACAGAGTGGCCAGTTTGCTGCTGGAGGCAGGAATTAACGTAGATGCTGTAAACAATGTAAGTAACGTCAACTCCCATGTGACTTGTTTCTTGGTTTGTATGATGCATGAAGATTTCCTGCTTTATCCAAAAATAATAAGAATGTGTGACACTAGACTAGTGGGTTATCTGATGATGTAAGATAAAGACTATGATCTAAGGCGTCCACAATTTCCTTTTAGGTGAATGGTAGATTGCAGTATTTAATATCCTCTATTTCTGTTTCCAAACTTTACATTACCTAATTTACTAGCAGACTACATTAACAAACCAATAGAGTAAACTACTTAAATTACTTCAAGTTGCTCTTCCTTGGATGACATATTGTAAACAATGCAACTGAGTTGTAAGTACTTGAAAAGGGTTATTTTATGATTATATATGATTATTATATATAATATTTAAAATTTCAATTAAACTAAGGTTTTATCCAACATTTTGAAACCTGTGCCATATCTTGAACGCAATGTTGTGTTTTAATGGTGTCAAAATTCATGGGCTATTTCAGGTTTGCTTTCAAAATGGAAAAAAAGATGACAATTTAGATTATGGATTGTAATTGTGATTAAATAGATTGTAATGTTTTCTCCCACCTCTACCTGTGATGGTACATGCATTTTTTTAATAGATCTTTCATTCAAAGAACTTTAAATTTGCTTCTCTTCCAGTGGGTGTTCTTAATAACATGATCATTTACATATCAGATGAAATGTTCTTATTGTCTTCTTTATTTGTGTTTGAAACAGCAACACAACACACCACTCCACCTAGCTGTGCTGAGCAATCACACAGAGGTTGTACGGCTGCTTATAGATGCTGACTGTGACCTGGACATCACTGACAATGTGAGTGCAGGCCTCTACAGTGCCACAGCTACACAGTAAAGAACATAAAAGCACCTGGCTCTGCAGGACCTCCGTGTGCCCACATTCACTAAAACTGATAATGCCACATGTTAAAATTAGAACAATTCACAATGAGAGGTGATGGTTCTACAGTGCAATAACTGATTTCTGTCTCGTGGTTCACAGAGACAACAGACTGCTCTGCACATAGCAGCAGAGCATGGCCTGCAGGACGTGGCTGAGATGATGCTGATCTCTGGTGTTAACCTCAGTCTGACTGACAAGGTACCAGACAGCACGAACTTTGAGCCAAGCTTTTTTAAACAATTTGCTAGTTTTTCTATTTTTTCTTAATATTTTATGTACATGTATACATTTCATACTCAAAATAATTAAAAGATTGAAAACAGAATAAAACAGGATTAATCACTTATTATAATAATAATAATAAAAATACTATTCACTGTGTTTTACTGATTATATGATATACACAGCAGGGGAAAACGTGTCTGGAGGTGGCAGCAAGAGGAAATCATGTCATCCTGGTCGACATGATCATCAAAGCTGACCGCTTTTATAAATGGGATAAGGTGAGTTTATTGCATTGCATCTGGACCTGCAGTGGCTCACCTGGAATAATGTTATTAAACAGATACAACTTCAGATGCTTTGCATTGTAAACCACATTTATATGTACACTGTGGATAAAAAACTGCCTCCCCTCTTGGCTTCAGGATCATATGGGCAGTGAGCAGGACCAAGACTTGGGGAGGCCTTTGAGCTTCAAGCAGGACCACCAGCCAGAGACACAGCACCTCCGCTCTGTCCTGTGGAGACTGGCCACCAAGCACCTCTGCCGTGGGGAATGGAAGATTCTGGCACAACACTGGGACTTCAGCGATGCACATATCAGAGCTATAGAACAACAGTGGACAGGTGAGCTACAGTTGACCTCTTGAAAATGGTTTGAAACACAAATTAGATTATTACATTAGACACATGCTGCTTTTAAACACCTGGGCACATTAGTACCATAAAATGCACACAGCATGTTTCCCAACCTTCCAGCTGTCTGAGCCCGACAGCTGGAAGATAAAGTGCACTCTCATGTCTGTATATAATTATGGAGATAGTTCACGTTAGAACTTTACACTGACATCGCCCATACTTTCTGGGTGTATACGTATACAGGTTTATATGTATAAAAGTAATTTTATTCTATTCTAATTTTAATATTTGTAGATATGTTTTGTGTATGTAGCATGAAGGGGCTGCAACTGACATTTCGTTGTGCAACCCTCTTCTGTAAAATGACAATAAATTAACTCTGATCTTGATGTATTTGGAACTTTGAATTAAACTTGTAGGTATGAAAAGTTTTAAAGAGCATGGTCACCGAATGCTGTTGATCTGGCTTCATGGAGTCGTGGTGGGGGGAGAGAACCCGATCAAAGGTCTCTACGAGGGGCTGGTAGAAATCTCACGGACAGACTTGGCAGGTGAGCCCGTCAAACTGCACTCTGGTTTGTAATATGTCTGTCCATCAGTGCTATGTGAAGCCCCTGCACAGTGACGGTGGGAATGTTTTCCTACTCATAGTATTTCACGTTACTTAGCAGTATATTTTGAATGCCCTCTGACCCATAGACAAAGGCTGAGCTGCATTATGTTTATGCATTAGACCGCCTTTGATTGTGACCACATCCTCAGCTGTGGTTGCTCGACCTGCTGCAGCTAAATAGATGACTTTATTCACATTTGATCAGCACTGCCTAGTTTGACAGTTTGATCTGAGTTTGGTGCGTTGAGTTGGACGGACTCACTGAGAAATGACTTGTCAGTCACAGGGTTAGCCATGCCTTTAAAGCTACCCTGCTTTATGGTCTAATTTTACTCTAAATGGGACCATCATTTTACTTAAATGAACATCATGGCTGTATGGAAGAATTTTACTTAAACTTTGAGATTGAGACCATAAACTCATTAAGAAACTGTTAACCTGAGGCCTAAGAAATCAATGTGAGAAGTGAAGGCTCATTCTCCCATTAAGACTTTGCAATGCTTTCGGTCTTTTTATTCCAACCAATTGGAGGCTCCCCCCTGCTGCCATTAACAGAATGGTAGGTTTAAGACACTTTTGTGTCAGCTTCACTTTACAAGACCTGGGAATCTCTGGTCATTATATATACTGTCCAATGATTCTGGTTGTGTGTGTGCAGTAAATTGATATGGTTGTGCTGGGCTTGAATGACATAATACATATATATATATAGTATATGTACATATATATATATAGTATATACGTCACATCTTAAATTAGCCTGCTAATATTAGCAAAACTAGCTAACTACCCACTATTTACATCAAGCGATTGCAAGCTAGTTACATCTTGAAAGCTAATGTTAGAAAAACACAAACCTGGCGCCCGGTTAGCTCAGTCGGTAGAGCTGGCGGACGCATATACGCATTGGCCGGTTCGAGTCCGACCTGCGCCCCTTGCTGCATGTCGTCCCCTTCTCTTCTCTGACCCCCTTCCTGCCTTCTACCCAGCCATCTGCTATCAAATAAAGGCAAAAAGGCCCAAAAAATAATACTTAAAAAAAAAAAAAAAAGAACACAAGCTAATTAGTTATTTTTTTTGGAGCGGGACTTAGGAAGAGTCAGTTCCGACCATGACCAATGTATTTTTAGTTTTATATGTAGTTTTATATTTGTGCCATTGACTGTATGATGTGAACCAACTACATACAAATACAAAGAAAGCAACTAAGCTGTATTTGTGCTTGTCTATTTCCTCTATGATACTGTACTGGACTGTGAGGTTGTGGGTGTTGGTGTGGAGTGCCAGTGTCAGGAATGCATAGGTGCATGATGTCTCCTTGTTGTTTTGAATCCTCCAGAGTGCATCCGTCAGAAGGCGAATGCAGAGCCCAGCTCTCCCAAAATGTGCTGTGCAATGTGATCAACACTGTGAGTGGCAACACAACAACTCCAAGGTTTCAGTTCATATCAGGCCTGTAAATGCCCAGAACTGAGCTTTTTATTGTCCATGACTTGTTTATACATTCACACATTGAATATACTGTGATTGGTCTGCATTTGGTTCACAGAGCATTTATTCTCTTTTGGGGTTAGGCAAAATGATGGTTATAAATATCTGCTGTCAATGTAATATAACAGTTTGGTTTTATTTTTTTAATGCATGCAGTGAACACTTGCTAACACCATTCATACTGTACTGTATCTCTGTCCACAAAGGGCTTTTTTAGCACACTATGACTACCTGTCATTCAGGTAATGTAATGTAATGCTTTCTCTTGCAATGTCTCTCAAACTTATTCTTCCTTCAAACTGTATTGAGTGATGTAGGAAAAGGAAGGCTCCAAAACACTCAGAAACACATTGTTATGGCTACTAGATGTTACAGTAGCAAACAGTCACCCACTGTTCACCACCACTGTGCACCACATCTGGCAGACACTAAACAAGTGCAAATTTGATCACTGGAGTGTTTTTGCAGTCTGTGTTTTTTCTGCTCCATAGGGAAGCCTGAACAGAGTCACTTGGAAGGTGATCAGAGGCAGACTAGAGAAACTTTGTCAATGACTTATATATATATATATTTACACAGTGCAACACATAGTACACCTGTAACAAGAGAAAGAAAAACAAACAACTAAATGGCAGACCTGGCTTAATTGAGGAAAACGCAAATCAATTTAATTGTGATTTCACCGCAACACAAGCATCTGGTAATGTTCCACTTAGGATAGATCAGTTAAGGGTGTAATGGTAGACGGTTCGGTTCATACCCTGGTTTAGAGTTGGTTAGGTTCAAGTTTAGTACAGTAGGAAAAAAAAACAAATGCTGAAGCCGAAACATTTTTTTAACTGCGCTTTTGTGTCTACTCACGTCCTTACATTGACTCTGTAAGCCACTGGTTCCCAAACTAGAGGTCGGCAAACTTTATGGGGGGTCACAAGGTGATAAGTATATAGACAGTAGGCCTGTATCTCAGCATTTCATAAATTTCTGTGAAGAAAACTAAACGGAACTTCTTAAGTAATTTTGATTATTTAAATTATTATTTAAATTTATTATTTGATTATTTAAACTTTTTACAGGATAAGGGCACAGTGAAGAGCTGAACACAAGCTTTATTGGTCGAGCCTTCAGTCTCTGGTAAACAGCCTCGTCCTGCATTAGAAAACACTGAGAGAAAACACTGAATTTGTATGTGTAAAAGTATGTGTGATTGTTAAAAATACAAATGAAAATACATAATACTGGGAATAGTATAGTTTAAATATTTTAACATTGTGCCGTCCTTCATGACAGAATCTACAAACAGATGTTATGTAGCTCATCGATCTGATGAATACATTATCTACAATTATATACATGAAATAATTTAATTTTATTATTTTTAAACAATACGACATCACCATGGCAACATATGGTCATGTGTGTTCCGTCGTGCCATCATGCCCTGTTTTATAGGAGGTCATTTTTATTTCACATTAGAAATATTTTCAAATGCTCTTTTTCAAAGGTTTGTTTTTCTAAATAACACGTTTATTTTATGCCACTTTTGTGACATTGCAATATTTTACATTTTATGAAAATGGATCCATATTTTCACAATGTCTTTATTTGATCTAATATTGAACATTTGGAGCTCCATACTAAACGTTGGAACATACCCACCTTAGATGATCTGTGGATGCTGTTTTAAACAAGAGCCAGCCGTGTAGGCTTAACTTTGTTTAAGTTTCCCACTGTTCTATTATGTCTCTGTCTGTTTGTCTTTTATTGTGAATCATTTTGTAATGTTTGCTCTAGAGCGGTGCTATGTAAACAAACTTACACTCACTTTTGCTCACCAACAGCTACGCACTGAGGCAGCTCACAGACATGAACACACTAAATGGTAAATGGACCTGTACTTGTATAGCGCCTTTCTAGTCTTCTGACCACTCAAAGCGCTTTTACACTGCGCTACATTCACCGTTCATCGAACAGCAAACGCATTCATACACATTCACACACCGATGTAAGGATACTTCGACATGTGGTGGGAGGAGCCGGGGATCGAACCAAAACCTTCTGGATTAGAGGACGACCGCTTTCTTCCTCTGAGCCACAGCCGCCTGTCTAAGACAGCTATGATTGCATCATATAACCACAGAAGCACATTGACATTCACAGATAAGCCTACCAGCATCTTTGTTATTAGTCTTGTTGATGTTTTATGTGCATTGATGTCAGGATTTAAACTGCTGAGGTTATACAACAGCAGTCTTTAGTCTTTAGGCTCTGCACTCTCTATATCGTGGCCTTATAAGTCTATTTAGTCAGTTTAACATAATTATCTAAAGCACAACTGGACTGGAAAAGACTCAGTGATAATACAATTATAACAATAAGAAGATGCTGCAGTGCTAAGCCTTGGTTTAACTTTAACCTATTGCCCTTACTACAGTTGTGCATGCATGCTATAAACTGTCTAAATGTTTTAAGTTTAATAGAGCAAAAAATAATAGTCGCAATAAATCGCATAAGGTCCTATCCAGAGCCAGTGTTTGGTTTGTCTGTTCTAGAAACATGGCTGTTCAGCATGGCAGATTCTGTAGAAGAGAACCTGCTCCCTCTGTAGATAAAAACATTATAAGGTAACGAAGAAAACAAATATTCTTATTTTCAGGTGATTATACACTAATGAAATCCTACCTATGAATATTATATTTAATTTCTGACAGTAGATCCTCCTAAATGTTACATACTGGAGTTTTAACTCGTAATCTCGAGATAAAGGCATTAAAAAAAAAAAATTGCAAGACGCCTGTTCTTGGCTTCCGTAGGCAGGTAAAGCATGATTAATATTTTTATTCTTATGTTTAGGTGACTTAGTTCATGTGGTTACAGGTTTTGCGCTTTGAAAGCCAAACATTCGCCAAAACACCTCTTAGACTGGAAAAAAACATTGCCAAAAACATAATTTTTACAGCAATTATGTTTTCTCCAAAACATATTTGGCAAAAGCATTTCAGCAGTATTTAGTATTTAGTAAAGTGAATTAGTAGGAGACAGGGTTGACTCCACTCTGCTCCACAGAGCCTTGGGGATTCATTTAGACACAGGCGGTGGGACAGCAGGAGGGATGAGAGGAGGGGTATGATGTTGGATAGGAACTGAAAATTATAAATAAAGTGTTTAAAAAATATGCAAAAGAGACGCATACAAAGTGAAAGAAACACCCACATTAAAAAACCCTCCAAAAACATAAATTACACTGTGCCAACGGTATAAGATTATAATGAAAGACATGCAAAGATGGTGGTACATAACAAAAAAGCGGTGCATACCAAAAGCAGTAAATAGTAAAACACTCGGATGCAGACTGTACTTTTGACATTGATCTGAAAGAAGAAGAAATACATGAAGAAAATAAGATAAAAACAAAATGGATTTAAATAATTTAATGTTTCAGTCTGTGTATCCATCTAACCTCGGTCATACTGTTTTACCCCGGTAGCATCGCTAACATGACCTTGCATGTTGTGCCAACTCTCCCTCCCCCGGCCTCCCCGCTGGTATTTAACTGTCCAGCACCGCTGCGACCGCCACAGCACTGACATACAAGCGTCTGCTGGATGGCACTATATGAAATCCTGACCCCTCCGTGACCTCTGTGTGTGTGCGATATCTGAAGTGTGTCAGTGTGTGCATTAGTTTCACTGTGAGTGCTGAGAGTGTATGCTCACAGCAGAAAGGGAGCGCTACAGGGAATACGTGTTCACATAGTGTGTGTCGCCGCTGATCAGCCGCCACTGCTTCCTGCCAGATGTGACAGCGAGGCTGCCAGCGTCCAGACTGCAGCCAGGCTGGAGGGGGTGGGAGGTGCAGTGGGGGGAGTCCCCCTGCAGGATGGCACATACCTACTGTGAAACTGCCCAATCACACTGTTCAAGGTGTTTCTAAACATCATCATATCAGTATCAAATTAACTCGGAGAGCTTAACATCGTTACTATAAACTACTGAGGCTACAGTTAAACAAACCAGAGGCTTCTATCTCAAAAATCTCAGAAATTATTTAGTTGATCAAATGTAGGAATGCACGATAAGTATCAGGACAGATACATTATTGGCTCATATCACCAAAAAGGTGGCAGATCAGAAAATGCTCACATGAATCATTTTCATAAACAGTCATATTGGCTGTTTTGAGGGCTTGATGTCTTGTTGCAACTCCACGTGTGACTCAATGGGAGACTACCTAACTAATACTAGTACTTGTGGGGAATTTCTTGGGGATATTCAGTCTAAATATTTTGTGATACCCTCAAATGAAGACTTGCTATGTGCCACCAACAGATCGAGACGTCATCAGTGGAAAATTAATCAACATTTTAAAAAGGAGAAGATTTCTGGAGCTCAAAAGCCCCTTTCTGTCCTGTGATCAACAAATAACACAAATAATCTCAAATAATCTCTCGCCACTCACACGGTCACACATATTCTGAAACTGCTCATTTGTTTTTGAAGAACAGCGCCCTCTACCTACTTTGAGCGATATAACAATTGAGAGAAGTTCAGACCCTGCCTGTAAATACAAATCAACACAACTGGCCAATCACTGCATGAAGTGGGTCTGATTGTTGGATTGCCCGTTTAGGAAAATTACAAAAATTGATGCAGATGCAGGGGGTGCAGATGCTGTTAGATGACCTAATAAGCACTTGGTTTGAAGCACTCTGATGCCTTTAAGGCCCTGTTTAGACCTTGTATTAACATGCGTCCTGGGTCCAATCACAAGTTCAGACAACTCTAAGTACAGGTGTGACTCCACCCAAGACGCATTGAGGACACATTGAAATCCAATCGCTCAGTCCACATTCGGAGGTGGTCAAATAGCCACATTCTTTGAGCAGTGTGTATGCAGTGTTTCCTTGGCTACCGCCTATTCAACTGACGTCCTGTAAGTACACATGAAAAACACTGGTTTTGGGCTCTCTTACTTAACAAGATAAGCATATGTTTTTTGGAACACATTGTTTCAACTGATTTAACCACTGAACTAGTAACCATCAGCAGATGGATTTATTACTTAAGCTTCAAAGCTATGCATTTCCGCGTAAAAATATGTAAAAACACTATGTTCTATAAGTAGTTGAGTTGTGTACTTCCATTGAACACATGCAACAACCAATTAAGACTGCCTTAAGAATCATACACTAGCTGCCAGAAACCGCCAAAAAATCTCGAGGTTTTCTAGGCGGTAAGTCACCGAAATTTATCCTCATCAAAAAGCTGCTGATTGAACAGTATTTAAATTTTAAAAATCCAGATGTTCTCCCCAACGGCTGTTGGGCCAGACACAAGGACGTCCTGAGGGGCCCTCTGAGCTGAGCTGCTGCTAAACGTTTAGCTCAGTTGTTTCTCTGATAACTTAAAGATCAAGATGTCTGATGACTCAAATCCATTTAGCCATCCTAAAACCTAAAAGCCGAAAATTGTGTCTTAAAAACTGGAGCTAAAAGTCAATGTATCAGCTTGCAGCCAACCGACACGTGACACATTGCACAAAGGGGATATGCGCCATTTGACAGGTGACCGGTGAAACGCAGCGTTACATGAATAAATAAATTAATATAATTTTAAAATAAAATTTATAAATTGTGGAAACATTTTGGGAT